TAAGAACATCAGTATGTGGTTTTTTAGCACTGGTGAATAGCGTTAGGGAACTTAAGACAGTGCCTGTGACATTAGGGCTCTGCTGTCAATTCTGCAATGGGGTGGGGGGGCTTTCTTGAAGGGAAGACATAGGAGACAAAACTAGCTGAGATGTTGAGTGGCAGTTGCTTCTTCTCATCCACTGTCCTTTCCCTTCCCCCTCTTCTCCAGCTCCACCCCAAATCCCTACACACACAGATATGGGACAGAAAAGCATCCTGAAGCTGTATTTTTGGAGGGTTTATGACAAGTCAAAGACCTAGCTACTGTCTTAGAACGAACATACTATATATGCCAGAGACTGTGAGGAGCTCTATATTATCTCATTTAATTCTTTTTTTTTTTTTTTTGGAGGGGTTTTCGCCATAGGGTACGTGCGCTCGCCAGACAGACAGAGAGAGACATAGAGACAGAAAGTGAGAAATCACGCCCCACGGGGGATGGTCATGACGCAATCCCTTCTCCTCCATTCTCCTCTCTGGATCTTGGGCACGCACGCACACGCGCCCGGAGTGAGTTTTAAGCCACCGGGTCCGGGACGCAAACCACGGTCGACAATGTGGGAATCCAGCAACATAGCCATTACGCTAACTGCTGGTTCCCTTATCTCATTTAATTCTTATAAGGACCCCAAGACTCAGAGAATGAATGCAAGACTCAGAAGATTAAGTGTCCAGGAAGCCCACAACTAGGAAGTGATGAAACCTAGATTCAGAATTTGGTGTGATTGACTCTAAAACTTTGATATCTTTTTCCCTCTCTGTTGCTTTCCTCTTCCTTTTATGTTACTCTAAAGGAGTAGATCTCAAACTGTGGTCCTGGAGCTGCAGCAGCAGCAGCACCACCACCACCACCAGGATCTTATTGGAAATATAAATTCTGAGTCCCACCTGAGACACATTAAATCAGGAACTCTGGAACTCTGGGGTGGAACCCAGCAACCTGTATTCTAATAAGTCCACATGTTTCTGATGCTTGCTGGAGTTTGAGAACCACTGCTATAGTGGTTACTCTTAAATGTTTAAGATAAACTTATAATTCTCACAAACATATTGTCAATCAAGAATTACAGCCTCCTTAACACACATTCACTTTACATCAGTCAACCTACTTCTCGTGGATATTATGAAATTTAAGTCTGAAGTGTTACTAAATCTTTATCTTCCTTTTTTTTTTTAGATTCTTTCTTTTGTTCTTTAATGAGAGAGACACACATCCCTGCTCCCCCCAGGGTATTTTCACACCACAATCCTCACCTCAGCCTCTAGCCAGCCAAGATTATAGGTATGCCCATAATCATACCATAGTCATACCTGGAAGGTTCATGTTGACCCAGATTGTAAACTCAAGCCTTCCCATTTAGCTCCAGCATCCTGTAGTACCACCTTCCTTACTGTGCCATGTGAATCTTTTTCATATAAACAACCAATACTTATTTTATATTAGTTTATAATTTACATATAATAAAAAGACACATTTTTTTTTCTTAAGATTTTTGCTATAGGGCACATGTGCTCACCAGAGAGAGACAGCAAGAGGGAAAGTGAGAAATCACTCCCAGGGGTAATGGCCGCACCACAATCCCTTCTGCATTCTCCTCTCAAGATTTTGGGAATGCACATACATGTACCCAGTGTGATTTCCAAGCCTCCAGGTTCAGGACTTGAACCATGGTTATTCATACGGGAGTTCAGCACCTGAACCACCATGCCACATGCTGGCCCCCAAAAGGCATGAATCTTAATTGTACAGTTTGAGTTTTGACAATTATCATATAGCCACCACTGTAATTGAACCATATAACCATTGCCCCTTCCTAAAGAAATTTCCCTTGTACCTTTTCCTTGCCTACCTTCACCTGCTCACCCCAAAAACTGATCTGTTTTCCATCACCATAGACTATGTTTGTTCTTTTCTAGAATTTTATATAAATGGAACAATAGAGTACATGGTCTTTTGTGTCAAGATTCTTTCCCTTAACATAATGTCTATGATACTCATCTATGTTGTTGTGTATATCAGGAAAATATTCCTTTTTATTGTTTAGTAATATTTCATTTGAATATACCATAATTTGTTTATTCACCAACATACTGATAAAAGTCTGGATTGTTTCCAGATTGGGGCTATTATATCTGAAACTAAAAATATCTTAGGCTTACATATACCGTCATTCTTTTATAACAGTTGTCTGGATTTAGAATGCCTGTTCAGAAGTATTTTCCTCATCATATAGGGTACTATTCAATTGTATTCAATCAGAGTTATTAGTAAGACTAATATTGATCTGATTGCTGGATTTTGTCTTTATATGTAATCTGTGTGGTTATTTTTACTTTCTCTGGGAGGTTTCAGAACTTTATTTTTATCTAAATCTCACCATGTTCTGAGTTGCATAAATTCTGGGCATTTTCCTTGGTTCTACATTCCACTTTACTAATTCTCTCTTCAGCCATATTTAATCAGTTATTTAACACACTTATTACTTTTTCAATTTTAGTGACTATATTTTTTTAATTTCTAGAACTCTTTAATTTTTAAAAATCTGTGTTTAAAAATAACTACTTAATTTCTTAATGCTTTTAAGTCTCTTTAAAATTATCTCACTAATTTTAAACATACTTGTTCTATTATGTGTATCTAAACCATTTATTACTTAAAGCTCTTGGAAATCTAATTTGCCTATACATTTCTGCTTTTACTGGCTTAGTTTTGTGCATGCATAATTTTGGAGTATGAGCTCATGTTTAGCATGGCTTTATCACTGAGAATTCTGGTTGGTCTGGTTTTGAAGGTGTGTCCCTCTAGACAGTTTTTATGTTTACTTCTTCTTGACAGACTGAAAGTATTACAAGCCCAAGATTCTTCTTATTTTAATAACTTGGTTAGCAGAAAGTATAAATTCAAACCCCAAATTAGGGAGAAGGCAAGGCAGGTTTTTGTTTAACCCATGTAGAACCCAGGCTAAAGAGACAAAATTTCTTATTGTGTCTTATTGCAGATTTTGACTAATTTACACTGACTGAGGGAATAACTCTTCAAATGTTCTGACTTTTTTGCAGGTATCTCCATTTCATCATTGTACCTTATACCAAGACCAATGCCACCTTCTTCAATGTCGATGAAATCTAAGTCCCTGGCTTATTGCAATTATGAATCCCTTTCTTATACCCAACATGCAGCAGGCCAACTTTTCTTTACATTATTACTGGGTACACCTATGGATATTCAGTTGGGTGCAGGGGTAGGGGGCTGTGTGAAGGCCATTAGATTTAAAACTGGCAGGGAATACCTGCTTCTCCAGCCCAGGAGGCTGACTGCTCACCTTATAACAGTTCTGACTAGACCTCAAAGGATGAATTCCTCAGGGCTCCCTATCTGTCTTCTTCTGATGCCTTCATTCATTTTCCATTTATGATAAAGTTATCCTTTACTTCCTCCTTCCCTTTATCCTACATTGGCCTTTTGACAAGAGTTGGGTCATTTTTCACTCTGTGTCTTCCTGACTCCAGTATATTTACTGAAAGATAAATGTGCTATTTTATAGCCTTCAAACCACACATAGAACCATTCACTTAGATTTTACAGCACAAGAATATTTATATTAGAGCTTTAAAATATCATCATCAAAATTGGTCTCACTTTGGGGACTCATGGTATATTCATCTCAGTCTGCATCTCCATTCTTCAGAGGGTAAGGGTTCCTCCTCAGGCCCCATCTCTCAGAATGAGGCATCAAAGATGGAAACCAACCCAATTTTCTGACCCACTGAAACAGTCAATTTGGAGAACAGACTTAAACCAAGGGTCTCTGTCCCAACAACCTCCACCTTAGCCCAAGTAACCCTCAGTTTGTTTCTGGAGTCCTGTTTATTTATTTGTAATTACTAGAGGGCACTCACACCTGAGAGAGAGTAACAAAGAGCAGGAGAGAGAGTGAGAGAAAGGACCTCCAATGGGATATGGTCATGTTTCAATTCTTTTTCCTTCATTTCTACTTCCTATCAGGATTTTGGGCATACACACATATTTGCCCAGTATGTTTTTCATATTCCAACTAGCAATGGAATTTGAACCAGAGCTGGCTATGTGGGGTCCAGCTTAACCACTGTGCTCAAGGGCTGGCCCTGTTCCTGGTTGTTGAAGCATAGTCTCACTGCCTCTTTGTCTCCCAGCTGACCTCTCTCTAGACTCCGCTTGCTTTTAGTTTATGTTCCCAGAACATATTTTTCTCACGTAACCTTGCTGCTTAGAAACTTACTAGGTACCTTCCTGGGAAGCAAGAGAGAGTCAGGCTCCCCGTCTTTCCAAGCTGACACAGCACACTGTTGAGGGAAAGTCTTTGGAGCCAGACAGATCTGGACTTGAATTCTGGCTCATCTACTTCCAAGTCATTATTAGACATTTAACCTTATGCCTTCCTCATCTATAAAATGGGGTAGTTAAACATAACTCACAAAGCTTTTGTAAGCTAAAACAAGATGAAGTATGGATGCTTCCTGACCCAAGGTAGAGTAGACTGCCCAAGGTATGAGCTCCATCATCCAAGCTTCACCAACCTGCCCAGAAGTACTGGGTGCATTGCTGACAGACTCCAGGATGGAGGTCGGGATGTTGGTGGCCTGTAGTGCACATAGGGTGGAGGCTGGGGTTTTGTTTTCCTCAAGTTATGGGTGGAGTGTTCTCTGGAAAATCAGGAACTCTATGGAAGCCCAGTCAGCCAAAAATGAGTTGCTCCAGAGCCCTACATATACGGCAGAAGTTACCAGGACACCTGTACCTGGCCATACCAGGACTTTGTGCCTAGATAGCCCATAGTTCTTTGACCTTTACAAAGGAAAGGAAAGTTCCTATGGGTTGTGCTTATGACCTTTGAACCTATTATCTTAAGAGCCATTAACCTGGTCCACCAAGCTATAAAAGCAGCTCATTCCAACACATTCTCCCTGCAGCCTGCTCCTTGACATCCGCCACACACCCACACTGAGCCAGACGTCGCTACCATGACAAGGGACCAGAATGGAACCTGGGAGATGGAGAGTAATGACAACTTTGAAGGCTACATGAAGGCCCTGGGTAAGTGGGAAGCTGAGATGGAGGGAGAAAAGGGACATGAGGACTCTGATCTGGCCGTCTAGATAGGGCCACTGTCAACAGACCTGTGTGCACATTCTCGTGCTTTACTGACAGCTGTGTAATAGCAGGCAAATCATACAAATTCTCCGAGGTTCAATTTTGGTGTCCGCGAATTGGAAGTCATGATAAACGCTGATTAGGAGGTAAGGTCTGCAATGTCCTTAGCACAGTGCCTGGCCCCCAGAAACCACCACGAATGGCACACATAAAGCCAAACTTGAGAGGATAATGCAAACTCTCCCCTGCCTTGTGATGGCCATCTGACAGCCAATTGGGCCCGATATTTTATAACAATGACTCCTGCATTGCTCTTTTCTCAGTCTTATAATGGGGAAGCTGAAGAGGAGTGGCTGACATCTCTCAGCTTAGAGAAAATTAGGCTCACGGAAGGCTGGAAGAGGGATTTGTCACATAATTCAAACAACCCACAGCTTATCTGACTTTTGAACTGGGCTCCAGGCCCCAGGCTACTGATCAGTGTGTGTCCTGAGTTAATTACAGGGTGGGTCTCTTGTAGAGCTAGTGAAAACATGCAGCCCGGTCCAGCCTGCAGGCGCTACATGAAATGAGAGAGTAGGTGCGCAGAGGGGAACCCACAGTTGCTGGGCAGCTCTCTGCGCCAGGCCCTGGGCAAGGAGCTTTGGCTGCCTGTCCTTTTCATCCCTGCAGCAGCCTTTTTATCACCTTTTCCAGCTTTAAAGTTCCCCATATATGGAGTTACCTCACCAGAACTTCCCACACACATAGCATGAGAAAAATGGCTGCAGGAGAGATCGGAAGCCCAATAATTTAGATATGATGGTGGGAGGTCTTTCCAAGAATGGGAATGTGAGTTTTTCTGTGCAATTAACTTGTAGCTTGAACATTTCCACCATGTCAATGAGAAAAGATAACTGTGACATGTTTTGCAATTTATGCAGCTGAGAGCGTTCTTTATGTACTTTAAATATGTTGCTGGCTGCCAGAATTTTACTTCAATATGCTGGGTCCAAGAAGGAAAAGACAAAAGTCCTCCTACCAGAGCCCCACCCTCAACCCTGCTTTTAGTACCATGAATAGCCAATAGAAATGGAGTTCTGATTCTTTTTTTTCTTTTCTTTTTTTTTTTTTTTTTGGAGAGGTTTTTGCTATAGGGCGCGGCGTGCGCTCGCCAGACAGACAGAGAGAGACACAGAGACAGAAAGCGAGAAATCACCCCCCAGAGTGGATGGTCACGCCGCAATCCCTTCTCCTCCATTCTCTTCTCGGGATCTTGGGCACACACGCACACGTGCCCGGCGTGAATTTTAAGCCATCGGGTCCGGGACACGAACCGTGGTTGACTACGTGGGAGTCCAGCGACATAGCCATTATGCTAACTGCTGGTTCCCCTGGAGTTCTGATTCTATACATAGGTAAAAGATTTGGCGTATAGCTCAGACCCATAATTCTGAACAAGGTTATATAAATGAGGAAACCAAACCAGAAAAGTCAACACAGCTGAAGCTAGAGCTCAGGACTTGCTCTGCGACCTCAAACCAATTTGTTTAACCTTTAAGAACCTCAGTTACCTCATCCACCAAATAAGGATAGTAACCCTGGCTTTGCCTCTCTCACAAATTTGGGACCCTCCAATGTGGGTCAACCTTATAGGCCATCACCTGTCATGGTTATGCCAGCATCCCACCAGTGGTTGTGGTTTGGAACAATTGAACTACTTTAACAGAGGATGTTCGGAAGTTTCAAGGTTTCAACAACATGCTGAACAAGCCATATTTGTGGAATTTAATCAGAAAGCAATTCTGTGTTTTCTGTCTAAATACTAAAAAGTCTTAAGGGGTTTTAAATATAAAATCTAGTCTCAGTTGAGTTTATAACTCTGCAGGGTGGTCCCCTAAAGCCCATCTCTCCAGGCTTAAGGGGGGAGGCAAGGATAGATGGTCTAACTAGCTAAACCAAAAATGTGAATGTGCTCAGTGCCTGGTTTATCTGGCTGTTGATAGCCCACAGAGTCCCAGGTACCAAGGAACTTGCCCCAGCTAAGTCCATTATGTGCTGTTTAGAAATGCCTCTGCCAGATTCACTTCCCTCCACTGAGATGCAACACCAGAACCCTCTACCTGCCTAAGGGGACATGAGTGGACCAGGGACTGACAGTAATTGAAGAGAGGTCTCACAAGATTCAGCCAGAAATGGATGAGGGAGGTAGGGCTGTGTCCTTGGAAAGCTCAGTTCCCTCCACACCAGACTGCAAGGCAGGGTTGCTTCCCAGCATTGGGAAGCCAGTAAAGCTTGTCTTCCTCTCCCTTTTGAGCACTAAGACCCCTGACATTTGGGGAGAGCATATAGGGAGATCTTAGCAAATCCTAGATGTGCAAGTACAACTGAGTATGATGCCACTGTCTGCCCAAGGACTGTCGCTTTCTTTGATGTTAACTCCCAGCACCAGGGAGTTGGCTGTATCTATGGATCTAGTTGTTGTTTCAGCAAGGAGGGGATACTCTGTTGAGATATGAGTCTAGGCAGCAAATTGACTTTGTCACTAGCTCAGTGACTTGCTCCGTGTGCTGGCCTCCCCACGTGACTCAGCTGCTAGCCTCAGCAAAGTGACACGTCACAGCAATCTTTGGGTTGTTTCAAAGTGTCAGTCATTAAGGGTCCGAACAGGGAATGCCAAAGGTCAGTGGTCCCTTCTACACGCAGCTGGTGTTTCTTAAGGCCCTAGATTCCTTGTTGACAGTGAGGAAATAAAATGGTAAACTCTTTTACCCTGAGGAATTTGTCACATTCCGAGGTCCTCTTTCAGGCTGAATCAGGGAATGAGGGACTGGAAGGGATGATCTTCATCTTAAAGGGGAGGCCAAAGAGGGCAGTTGTAAGAAGGGCCCAGTGAAAGAACACCAGGGGAGAGTCTACTAACTCTTCCCAGGTGGAGAATCATCCAGCTCTTCTACTAAAACTTTGGAAGTTGCCTGTAGAAGCCAGGGACTGTGCCATCCGGAGCAGAAGCAAACTCAATCTCCGTTGTAAAGGAGCTTAAAATGGTGTAGACAGTCAAGTGACTGTCATGTACAAATCTTGTCTGCCCTCTGTTAGTATGTGACAAGTCATCTCCATGCATAGTGGCTTGAAACAATGAGTCATTATTAGCTCTCACAGTTCTGGGAGTTGACTAGATTCATCTAGATGACTTGCCCAAAGGCTCTCATTCAGTTGTGATTAGACAGTGACTGGGGCTGAAGCCATCTTGAAGGTTTTCTCACTGATACCTCTGTCTGGCCATGGGTACTGTCTAGCAGCTGAGGCCTCAGCTGGGGCTATCAACATCTACATGTGGTCTCCCTATGTGGCCCGGATTTCATCAAAGCTTACTGGTTGTATCCAAAAAGAAAGGAGGTAGAAGTTTCATGGCTCCACCTCACAAATCATCATGTATCACTGCCACTGGATTCTACTGGTCAAAGTTACACGCCCACCTGAATACACAGGACAGCAATGTAGACCTGACCCATCAGGGAGAAGAAGGCCAAAGTCACACTGTAAGACTGCCATGTAGGTTGAGTGATGTTGTTGCATTCACTTAAAAATATATAATCTGCCACCGATGTGGCAGTGGGTCATTCTATGCCTTGGTTGCAAAAGGGATGGGGCAGTGGGTTATTCTATGTCCTGGTTGCAAAAGGGCTATGGTAACAACAGAACAATATCATCAAGAAGCCTGGGCAGGGTAGTGGAAGGAGTCAGAGTATAGAGGTCAGCCAGGGCCTCCAGAGTAATTCTGGGTGGAATTTTGGAGAAATGAGAGGAGTACTCCATGTAGAGGTGGAATCAGGCCTGGGAGATCAGGAGTAGTACTGCCGGAGGGTGACGTGCAAGGAGGGGGTGGAAGAAGAGAATCCGGAAGGTGATAGTGTGTTTCTTAGATGACATGCCACACAGGTGGGCTTTATCGTGCAAGGAGGGGGTCTAGGGAGGAGTTGTATGTCTCTCACTGACAGCCATGGGATGAATGGATGGGCAGAGACAATCAACAGACACCGTTGTTACATCAGCCTGGAAAAATGGTGCAAGCAGTACTGAGAGGAGGAGACAGGGAGATGTCCAGAGGGAGAAATAGACTAGATTTGGTGACCACATGGGACAGGCAGGGAGGAATCAGACTAGAAAATGAAAAACCATCATCTAACTTTGATTATCTTGGGATATGGGACATACATACACACACATGCCAGCGTGTTTCACAGGCCACCAGGTCTGGGACTGAAACCTGTGGAGTTGTCTGTGTGGAGCCTAGTGTCTTGTCCACCATGCCATATTCTTTAAGGAACATACAACTACATTATAGAGGATGAATCATAGGTGGGAAAGACTGGAAGCAGGGAGGGCTGATGGGAGACTACTCTGTTGTCTAGGCAAGACATGATGATGGCTTGGGATAGGGCAGTGCCCGTGGAGCTAGAGAAAAGAGGACGGACTTAGCATATATTTTGGAGATAAATCTGATGGGGGCTTGCCGATGAATATGAGGTGAGAGGAAATGAAGGAAACAAAGCTGGCTCTTGGGTTTAGGCCTAAATATCAGGCAACATGGTGATCCCATTGGCTGAAATGGGCAATGGGGACAAGCAAGTTTGGGTTGGGGTGCTAGGCAGAAGGGAACACATTAAGGATTCCATTTTCCATTCTTCGGTTTCAATTGCCCATCACGCGTCCCAGAGGAGTATTAAAACTGGCACATTGACGTAAGGTCTAGAGCTCAGGGTATTGTCAAGGATGAAGACAGAGGGAGTGCTTTCCATTTTATGGGGTGAAGAATATGAAGCCCAGAGCAAAAGAGGGACTTGCCTAGGGCCACATGTAGCTGGGAAATGGTAGAGCCCAGACAGGAGCCCGGTCTATCTGCTTCTGACACCCATGCTCTTTCTGCAGCTGTTCCAGATGACAGTACTAAGCATGGTGTT